TTCTTCACCTTTTTCCCCTTGGATTTTTTTTTCCTAGAAAGGTGACATTGTACATCCCATGATTTAAAAGAAATTCTACTGCTAGGAACACATTCTAACAGATACATAATATTAAAAAAATAAACATTCACATTTATAGAATCACTTAAGGTCTATTAGGGAAATAAATCCAGCAAATACAAATGAATAAAAACTCAATTACTTTGCATAATCATCAGAACTTAAGCTCATTGAAGTTTCATCAGAATCTGAAGCTATGAAGTCATCCATACTGTCTTCATCAAAATAGCCCTCAAAAGAGAAAAAACAGACATTTTATTAAGTATTCTCATCCAGAAGCTTTTATTAAACCTTTAGCCATCTGCTTATTCTTCATTTAAACAATGGCAAGTTCTACAAAGGGTTGGCCTTGCAAAATGCTTTAAGAATGACAACACACTCAAACAAAAATATGACAAAAACAGCAGCAAAATTAACCCACAGCAACAAAGATTTCCATTAATTTGACGAAACTTTACCTAGCACTTGGCAACGCTTATTTGGAAAGTTCTCAAATGAGAGTATTTCAAGATATCTAATTTACCTTATTTTCTTTGCTAATATAGTCCAGCTGCAAACACCAAGGGTGAGTCCAGATTCTGCTCAACATCTGGAAATCCTGGAATAGTTTAGCTCCAGCTTTGCCTCTTCCACCTTCATTGCCACTGCCTACACCTGACAATAAAGTTCAGGTTTTAGCATGAAACCTTGAAGAAAGTTTGCCACATTCTGTTCCCCCTTTGAACAATCCCTTAGTGCAGAACTGAGTGTTCTTTCCAGATGCACATCATATTGTAACATCTCTTGTAAAAGAGGTCAAATTACTGAGTCACAGGCATTTTTTTCCTAGTTAAAGTTGTCAAAATTAGATTTTCCCCTTTTTCTAGATAATGAGAAACATGATTACATTTTTACATAAAAGCACATTTCGCCCCAGTCCAGGAATGAATCCAAATCCTAAAAGGACAGTCATGTCTATTTAGGCTTTGTAAAAGCAGCCCAAGGTAGAAAACGCAAAATAAAATTAGCATTTAGGATTCAATGAATTTGGCTTACCATTTTCAGCTACCTTTACTTAATCACTTGTAATGCTGCAGTATTCTGTTACAAAAAGAATCTAAAAAAAGCCTAGCCTGTTTTTTTGACTGTCCAAGCACAAATAAGTGCAAAGTACTACAATGTTCAGAGAGTTTTATTTTTCTGTAGTCTCAATTTCAAGCAGCACATTAACTCCAGGTTCTTGAAATAGATTGTTTTCATATTTATTATATGCATAATTTAAGGCATGTATACCTGCAAGAAAACAGAAATGCACTCCCCTATGACCTGGGGAAATGAAACTGTAAAGATGATAGAAATTCTTAGATTCGACTTCCATAAACCTCAGCTAACAGCACTGAGAAACTTGCTGGTAACAAGTTTCAAGTTAACAAGTCCTATAGGCTTTTTACTTTTCTGTAACATAGAAGCGAAAGAAAACACATGTAATTTTCATTAAATGAAGAAAAATCTTGATAAACTGCACCTAAAATGTGTATTTTAGCTTATGCCTGTTACAATGCACAGAAAAATGTAATTTTAGAAACCTGCAGATGAGAAGCAGCAATTCCCCTTCTGTATTGGTCAGCAGCCCGACTGAAGCTGCAGTGGCTTCTCTCTAGTATAAGTGAACTTGTACACCAGTCCGCGGTAACATATTTTGGTGGTATTTTTTTTTCCTTATATACTTTTTCAATTAAATAAATTTATGCTTTATTGGGAAGATGCAAGTCCCCAAGACAGAGCAGTCAAGACCCCACTGAAAGCTGAAGAAAAGCAGAGTCATTGTGAACACCACAACTGTGGGGTTTGAGAACAAAGGAAGAGAGTTCCACAGAAAAATACAGTCTTTGACAAATAACAGCTTCAGCTAGGACAATCACAAAAGGAAACTGCAAGGCTTAGCAGTGCGCTTACACCAGTACATCTCAATTCTGCACTCTCTCCCTCCAGTTTTACAGTCAATATCTTGTTGTCTTGGCTGGGTAAGACATGAAATCAACTACGTCTTATGCTTAGAAAAGGAAGAGAAGAGAGATGAACCAAAACCTGCAGGTGGACTGCTGTTAAGAGATGCAAATATTATTATTCTTCAAATTATTTTTTTTTAATGTGCAACCAAACGTTATGCTATAAGCTAAGTTTCAGAGTTCAGGTAAGTCTTACAAGAAGTAGAAAAATACATCTGTAGAGAAAATAATAAATATAAAAAACCCTCAACCAAAAAGCCCCTTATTAAATGACCTTCAATCCTGTTACCTGAGAGAACTGTAGGCACATACCTGTCAAATGATCCAAGTAGTACTGGTAGAGTTTGCACTGAAGAGGTGTCATGCGAACTTCTAGAACATACTCGTATTTTGGCGGGAGGAACTTTGTTAATGCTGTGTAATCTTTCCTCTGTAATTTTACAGACAGTACTTTAGCCATACAAACACAAAAACTGATACTGAGAGCTTAAGAACTTCTGGCATCTTAAATGACAACGGACCATGCATAAATTACAGCGATTCAGATGCTTTCCAACCACAAAGGGAAAAAAATAGCCCACTAAATACAACCCAATTACAGGCACTGTCTGCAGAAGCCCATCTTACCTAGTAAATGTGGCTGTCTTGTCAAAAGTATGTGACCTGTTAACCCCATGTCCCACTTCCAAGTCCTTGCAGTTGACTGCAACTTAAGAAGCTGCTCTGGTAACTACTTTTGTGTTGGATTTTTTTTTTTTAATACTAACACCTTTTTTTTGTGAAAGCATAAGTCAAGCAGCTAGTATCAGAAAAACTGTCCAAGCAGCCAGGGATCAGGTTAGGAAAACCAAAGCCCTGATAGAATTAAATCTGGCCAAGGACATCAAGGGCAATATGAAAAGCTTCTGTAAGCATGTCAGTGATAAAAGGAAGAACAGAGAAAATGTGGGCCCTTCTCCAGAAGGAAACAGGAAACCTGGTGAGCCGGGACACGAAGAGTGCTGAGGTACTCAACGAGTTTTTGCCTCAGTCTTCACCAGCAAGTGCTCAAGCCAAGCTGCCCAAGTCACACAAGGCAAAGGCAGGGACTGGGAGAATGAACAACCACACACTGCAGGTGAAGATGAGGATCAAGACCATCTAAGGAACCTAAAAGAGCTCAAAGAGTTGATGGCTCCATGTCCAAGTGGAGACCAGTGATTCCTCAGGGAATGGGACCAGCACTGTTTTCCTCTGCTCTGCTCTTGTGAGACCCCACCTGCAGTCCTGTGTTCAGCTCTGGGGCCACCAACATAAGGACAAGGACCTGTTGGAGCAGGTCCAGAGGAGGCCACAAAGATGATCAGGGGCTGGAGCACCTCTCCTATGGAGACAGGCCGAGAGAGTTGGGGTTCTCCCCCCTGCAGAAGGCTCCGAGGGGACCTTATAGCAGCCTGCTAGTACTTAAAGGGGGCCTACAGGAAAGATGGGGAATCCGTTCGGCATCTGAAGGCACATAAGATTTACTTGCTATTTACGTTCCTCTTCTTGTTCTGTATTTTGGTTTGTGTTTCTGTACTGGTGTACAGACATGTGGAAGTGTGTATGCTATCCTCCCACTGCGATTCGTACTCATACTGTTCTTACCTGAACGCATCCAGCTAACATCTCATAGAGAATATGTGCACGCTTCTTCATTACTCTGACATCTACCAGAGTTGAGTCTGCACACTGACCGTTCTGAATGGGATTTATAAATCGATTTCGGAATTCCTTAATTGAACCAAGCAAATTCTCCTTAATAAAGTTAACCATGCAGTGATCTAGGACAAAAAAAAAAACCCAACAAACAAGACTTGAGTCGTGCATAATGGAAAGCAGAGTACTGGGATTAATTCTAGTAGAAAATAAGTGTGTCATATCTAAAACTAAGAACTTTCTGTTGAGAAAAATCAACCCAAACAGCCCCCATATTTTATAGAAAGACATCTTAATTTGACATATACTCTAGGCACAGAGGTAACTTCTAAATTTAAAGTCAGATATAAAACTACCTTGCTGTGTTTGTTACACAAACTTTGAAAGTTGATGTACACCAAAGCAATTATATAACAAAACCATATTTGCAAAGATTTTCAAATAGATTCAAAAGCATATTAATCAATAAGATAAAATTTATAGCATATTAACAAGCAGCAACAAATGTGCAAGCTAGTTTAGAATCAAATTCCCAAGACAGTAGAATAAATCACTGTTTAGTAAGTGCACTAAGAACACGGCTCTACAATAGTTTAAAACTATTTAAATTGATGCTGCTGCAAGACCTGGTTCACCCATTTACCCCCTGAACATTCTCTCCTTTCCCCTTTCGATGTGCTGAGACTCATCTGATCCTCTGGGTAGCCAGATCAAGGAACTCAACTGTCAGAAAGCTATTCCCTTCCGCACTGTTACTTTGTGATACTCCTCATACAGGCTCCCTGAGGAATCAGATGTATGAGAGGCCATTTTCTTCTAATTAGACTGAATCTATCTATATATTGTTGAAAGGCAAAAGTATATTCAAGGAATTAAATACTTCTTAAACTAGAGAACGACTCACATTCTATAAGATTATTTTGCAGTGGTGTTCCTGTAAGAACTATTCTTCTCCTAGATCGAATGGAATTCATTGCCTTGGAAACAGCAGATGCTTCGTTTTTTAGTATGTGCCCTTCATCACAGACAACAAAGTCGGGGCCTAGAAAGAAATAACATTAGAAGTCTTTCAACTTTTATAACCACAAAGAAACTGGCAGCCTAAAGAATCCAAAATTTCTTCTACTCAGGTTAAGTTGGGTTTTTTTAACTTGTGGGTGTGGGTGTGTGTTTTGTGGTGGTGTTTTTAACACTGTTAAGGTTTTTCACTCAGCCTTTGCATAAGCATTCACAGTAGCCATTCTGGTAAACTACAGGCTGCTGCTTGTAAAGTCTTCATAGGAAGGATTAAATATAGATTTGCAATATATTCCCGTAAAAATTATGTATCCATGCAGCTAGGGTGTGCACGGCTACATTTCTATTCATCCTGTCAAAACTTCACAAACTCTCCCTTAACTCCAGCTCGGGCTGCCATCTACTGGTGCTCGGTCAATTATAGAGAAACCCAAAAATCAGGTAACCAGGAATTTCTCATTAAGGCAACATGTCTGTATCAACAACGGTAAATGGTGTAAACAAAAGTCTTACCTAAGACAAGACACAATCAAATCTGATTTGAATTACAAACAAGTGAATTGCCATCTTGTAGCTGAGTGTCACCACAGAAATGTCCTCAGCTTTCTTCCAGAATTAAAACCAAGGATTCTAGACTGCTGTTTCAGGTGAGTTGCACAGAGAATGTCAAAACCACACCACAATACATTTCCACAGTATGCAGTGAAACTCTATTAAGTGGTAAGAGTTGGGGTTTAAGACAAATAATACCAAAATTGGCAGAACAGACTTTCACACCCTAATGGTTTTCAGATCTAGGGCAATTTCTGGAAGCTCATTCCTTGAAAGAAGTAAAAGACATTCTGGGATCCAACCAGTAGCTTCGAATGAATGTTTTACCAGATCTAAACCTGACCTCGATTGCAGTGCTATCAATCATGAAGTCAGCTGAAGTCAAGTTTAGGCACCTTTGAAAAAATGCTCTACAATGCCATCAGCTGGGTTCACCTAGTCAGGGTGGAATCTGAGGTGGTAAAGGAGTCATTATCAGCAAGGACAACCTAATCTTTTGTAACGTACTAAGAACAGTTCTCCCCAGACAAACTTTAAACTGCCCTGTAAAGAAGAAAATTAACTCTAAGACAGCAATCAACAACAGAGAAGCGGTTACACCTTTGACCACTTGCACAACTTAATGCCAGTGCCAGCCATCTTCATAGTGCCATTTGAAGTGTCAAAAAGTTATTTGAATCTTACATGCTAAAAGAAAAGGAATCAAGAAGGTATTTTTTTTTCTACTGTCTAGAAGACAATTATGAAAATCCACAAAAAAATGTCAAACACTTAAGACTTGTGCAAATATCGCAGAAATCAGTTTCAGTAAAGATTGTGGTTCATTAACATGAAGTGGTTAGTTAAAACAAAACAAAAAACCCACCTCAAAACCTGTTGTTTAGAGTGAGTGAATGATAGCAAAAATATGAAAAAAAACTATCTTAGTAAAATTATTTGTGGTTGGTTTGGCAGGCACGCAGCACTGATATCCTGAACAAACATCTTGGCTACAATTCAGTGGCAGGGATTTTCATAAATCTGCGGGTTTTTTCCTTGTTCTTAAAAAACATGAATGCAATTCATTACAGACAGAACATTTCTCAAAATATTCTACAGAAATGTAAAACTTAAAGGGACCTCGAGGGAGCATTTAGTCCATTTTCTTCATCTGAGGTAAGAGTTATGAAGAAGGGTCATAACCTTCCTGACAGAGTAGGAAACTCCATGACCTTTCTTTTACTAAAACACTGTGCAGTAACACCTAATTTAAAAGATCTCTGTGGCAAATCAGAATAAATTTTGCCCTTTTATTTCTCCAACTGATGTAAAAACCAACTTATAACAACCCTTTCAGTAACCAGCTCTTACACGGTGGAAGAACTGTCAGTTTAGTTGTCTTTTTTTCTAGGCTAAAAGGCCTCATTCCTCTACCCTCTCCTCAAAGACCAGTCTTCATCTTCTCATCCTTCTCGCTGTACATACACATTAATATTTTGATACACATAAAGCAAACACAGTGATAGATATATAGATATACACACACATCTCCTTTTCCTCTGAAGTCTACAAAAACTGAAGTCTGATTCATACAACTGCCAATTAAAGAGCAGCATCCAAGTTAAACAGTAATGGAATTTTTATTAGTAGCAACAAGGAAAAAAAATACACAGTTATGGAAATGCTGCAAGCAAAGCACAACAGCTATCAATAACCCGAGCAGCATTTCAGCAGCTGCACAAAGCATTATGGGAAACCATTTGTTGCTCTGCATGCGTATATAATCCTGCTATTATTTCACATAGCAGAGCTAGTTAATTAATGAAATCACTTCTCCACCCATAAACTTTGGCTAAACCTTCCCTCTCCGGTCCCCTCTTCAATACAAGCTTCTACTGTAGAATACATCTACCCTAGCAGTATTTATTTTAACCAGACACGTATCATTAAATTATCGTTCAAATACCAAATTTGCAACCTTTTAAATTAAAAATGCTCCCAGCAGCAAAGGTTTTCCTATTTGCTGTCACAGCAGTAAGCCAGCACATAGCTCCATAACTCTTTTACTGGCAGCCTGCTATATTGCCCATTCACAAAGACAGCAAGAAACAAATAATGGTTGTTGCGTGATACTTCTCATCAGTTTAGCCAATCCATACATCTCCAAAAACTAAAGGATAATAACAGATGAACACTTCTGACTTTCTGTCATTAGTTAAAACAGAGAAAGATTTGAAGCAACATAAAAATAATTAGAGCTATTTCAGGGTTAGTTTTCCTAATGGTCTGATTCCAACCTACCAACCAACCAACCAGTCCAAGAGGTGAATGAAACAGGGGGCTCCGTGTTCATATCAAGTTACTCAAACACTACCAAGGCTCAATGTGCTGCCGTTTCTGAACTTGATTCCTTGATGTCTTCCTAAGCTGTCTAAGGAGACATGGAAGTAGAACAGAACCACACCTCTAAGCAGGATACAAAAATAAGAGATTCACAAGAGCTGGGACAGCAAAGGTGACACAGGTCACTGTGTCCCCTCCATAAAATTGCATGTCCAACATGCCACCTCACTCCACAGTCCAGTGTTTCGAAGTCACAGCAACACAAATCCATGAAGGAAGGGACATTATTACTGTAAAGATGCACAATAACCACAACCTCTATGTTTAGTGTCCCTTACACTTTTACACAAGTTAAAAAACCCACAAAAATCAATCCCTGTGAGAGTATGTAACATTTTATGTCATCATTGCACCGGAACACGACCAACTGAATACAAAGCTACTGTTCCTTCAGGCTATGGTCTTGTCACCGCTATTTTGGTTTTAGTAACTGTAGCATCAATAGGAGGAGTCAGAAAACCCACTGGCAAGAACTGCAGTTTCTTCATTGCTTAAATAATGCCCATGGAATCAACATCATCACAAAAATAGTTCACCAGCTACTGTACTGGAGCTTCCCTGATTCCACAACAATTATGTGATTTGGTGAGTCAAACTGGCAGAAAATTAATTAAATGTTTTAGCTGCTCAAGCAGGCTTTGTGCAGAGCTGGCAATACCAATTCCAGTTGGCCAACGCCAATAAACACAAAGTTATTGTTCCCATTAGAAGAACCCCTTTGTCTGTTAGAACAAAATTCACAGCCCTATCATTTGAAACTTCACAAAAATCAAGCTCACCAATGACAATCATTAGCCAGACCAATGCCGTATTTAATCATTCAGAAAGATTACTTAGCTCATATACTTAAACCAGAAAGTACCATTACATATATAATGCATACTTGCATTTATTTTCACTTACCTGGATCAACTAGAGCTTTATTAAATATTTCTTTAAGTTTTCTACTCTTCACATTCCTGCCCTGTGCAAGATTACGATACATCTCATAGCCTATTATCATCACTCCTCCTTCATCTTGCCAATGCTGGAGCATGTAGCTTCTCTCTTGAGGGCGTTTCACAGTTGCTAGCTCACAGACCTTCCAAAGGCGAAAAAATAGGCATTAATTTCTCTTAAATGACCAAACTACTGGTCAACTTTTAAAAAGCTAAGGCTTATTAATGCAAGTACATTTTTCACATACTTAAAAGTGCATTCCTTAGCCTATATTTTGAGTGGTGGTGATTTTTCATTATTATAATTTTGTAAATGGTTCAGGTATCTCATTTTTAAGAACTCTTTTTAAGCCTCATACCTCGAGTTTTTCGTCATCTTCTAAACCTTCTTGCCACTTTTCAAACTCATTCAACCAGTTCAAGGCCGTGTTCAGTGGACACACTACCAGAGCTGTCCGAAAATCCAGCTTGTCACACAGCAAGACTGTGTGCAGAAAACTTACTACCTGCAAGAGGAAAAACCAGAGAAAATGCTAAATAAATCAGAGTATTAAACACTAGGAAAGAAACAAACCAGTATATAGTCCCATATAGAACTTACCAACAACAGTCTTCAAACTTCTTTTCTGTTTATTAAACAACTCGCTGCTTAAAATTTAATACACATGTATTAAAAGTATTATACCAGAAAACCAGAAAAACCAAGCCTCCCCTGATTCCCTTGAGCCTGTTCTTTGCAGAAGAATTCAAATCTAAAGAATCTGCAGAAGTTACGCCAGCCTAAGCGCTCCATGGCTGTGCCCTGCAATTTGCAGGTCAAGAAAGAAGATTCGCAGGATCAGGATGTCCTAAATAAAATCTGTCTGAATTAGGCCAGAGGAGAGCAGAAATAGGTATTTCTCATCTAACTTCACTTTTTGAAGAATTGTGGGTAGCAATGGCTTAGAGGAAAGACACAAGAACAAGGAAGCCATCTGGTCGAGTAAGGCATAGCTAACACTAGCAAAGAGTAACAGATTCCTCCTGCTAGACCCTCTCTGAAGATTTTCTCTTGGAGCACATTTCAAGTCTATAAAAACAGTAATGAAAGATTTCAAGCCAAGCCAAGCCTGCTATCTAGCAGCATCCAGGTCTGCTGACGTCAAACACCAGCTAGCAAGGCAGATGCGAGCACTACCGAGTGAAAACTACTGAGACACCTCATTCCAAACAGACAGGTGTCAAAGACCAACTGCTCGTCAACAGGATCTCACAGCACTTTGTTAGCTAAGTGACTGATGAGGTCGTAAATTTGGCTGCTGTCTATGACTATGAATTTATCTACAGCACAAAAATGTTGAGACGTATTTCATACTGCTTGGAATTCCAGTACGTCGATATACTGACCTCTCCACGAATGAACAGATCTTGAGCCTTCATGGCAGGTGACAGGGCTTCCCAATCCAATGGGGAAGCTCCTACCACAACTGACTAAGATAGAAGAGGATGGTGAAATGGCATTTCCTCACAGACGCTTTGAGGATCCCATCCTCACTGTAGGAAGAAAATAACCCCTTTGAGAACCATCATCACCATGCTAAAGAGACTGCGCTCCAGGGAATGAGTAAAGTGCATCCATATTTGGAGCATGTGAAGAAAGAGTTCAGAACAAAGTGTTGCGCAAGTGCTGCCAACATGATCTAGACTTGCCAGTCACAAACTCACCAGAGGACTACGCAGGTCTCCTGACAAGTGACTTTATAGCTAAGAACTGCTCCTGGCACAGGAAGACTCTGATTGATCCAGAGTTGAAATGGCTTTTAATGAATTCCAACATCTGAAGAAGCTGCAAGTTCGACATCTAAAAGTTCACAGTAATTCATGTGATGAGCCAGTTGTCCTGATAAAGACATGGGACTATCTCCCTCCTCCAGAAATGAGGCAACATAGCATCAACTAAGGTCAAGTACAGAGAGACCAAAGCGGCCTTGCTTTTATGAGGGCCTTTTTCAAGCAGAGATAAGGTTGTTACCCTCCTTTCTTCTTCAGAGTTCAAATTTCCCTTTCTCTGTCCCAGAATCAGAGGGAAATGTACTTCTGTCCAATGACTTCTGCTAAAGGACGGGTTGGGAACAGATCAGGCAGCAGAGCAGCAAGACGGGCAACTCACCCATGGTATTTGTGGTGGTGCTCCATCTGGCCAAATGCAAACTCCCAAAATTTAGAAAGATAGATACTTGACACAAGCACACGTATCAGGAATTCAACACTCCTGACTACCCTGAAAAGGTAGCAGCATGAATACCGAGATGCAGGGAATTCAAGAAAACTGGTTTTGACCTTTTACCTCTTTTTAAGGTCAAGGGCACAGGCTTCTCCTGAGGCCTGCAATGATTGTAAGAGGCCCAGGAAAAAAGCTGTGAGCAGAGTTTCACAGCAGCTGCTTGGGGGATCTGTTTCAGAAGAAACATTTTAAGATGGAGATTAAGCATCAGATTTTAAAGACTAATAGAAATACTAAGTTGTTCAGTGTGCAACTTTTAACATGGCAGAAGAGTCACTTGTATCAGACAAAGAACTATCAAAATTATTTTTTTAAAAAAAATGCTACAATATTCTGTTTTGAAGACTTTTACAAAGCAGTCTTCAGCAGTGTGAAGGAGAAGGAACATGAGCTGAAATGACAATGAATGCTTGAACCTGAAGATCTCTGGAAGCAAAGAATTATAAAGCCAAAGAAAAGAAATAAAGAAGTGAAAAAGGGCTTAAACGTATGCCCTGTAGTTAATTGCCAAGGCAATGAAAGTTTCTGGGCTTAACTGTGAAGCACAACAACCCAAAAATATGAATATACATAAGGACAATTGCTGAAATAGAAAACAAATGCTCCCTTGTCCCTCAAACTGCAAGAGTTTAAATTGTAGCAAAATATTTATATTAAAATGCAAAGCATCTGACTTCAGCCTGCCTCCTGCTAGCTGTATTTTCTTGTTCTGAGTTGCAAAGGAGCTACGCATCACTTACAATTAAATATGACTTTTTCACATGAATATCAATGACTCCCTGATTTAATTTGAGATATTTTGAAAGCCGGGAAAGCACAAGCGTGTTTCAGAACTTTCACAGTCACATACTACAAAACACGACTTCTTTCTCAACATCGCTTGACAAAATGTTTTTCCTCTAGCAACCCTCATCGAGTCACTGCCTAGGAAACAGCAAGTTTTATGATGTTCTGAAAGTCAACAAAATTGTCTTTCACTGGATGAGCTTTTGAGAGCAAGCTACAGACAAGAAAACGAGACAGTTTTTGTTTCTTACCTGTAACGTTTTCCCCAGACCCATACAGTGAGCAAGAATGCATCCAGAACCAGGAGATGTCTTTGTTTTTTTTACAGATTCGCAACAGCAATCCCACATGAACTGAACACCTGAGGAACGTAATTGAAGATTTTCTTATTAAACACACATTTTACTAGAGTTCAACTGATAAGAGTTACCATGATTTGACACTGATCACATCTCTCTCTCATGGTAAGTATTGAGTCACTTCTGTCTAATGGGTTGTATGTGGCAGGATCTGTCACAAACTTAATTATATTCACAGTTTTCACTGAAGGTTTGGCAACTGGGTTAAAGTATTACTTGCATTCTCCAAATGACTGTGATCTCGAGGAGAGGAAGAAAAGAGGAGACAGACAAAATGTGGCAAGGACTTCATGAAAAGGCTAAAATTACCTCGACAAATTAGCAAAATTATCTTAAAAAACTAAAAAGAAATTAAAACTCTTTTCCCTTACCATCTACTTGGTGTGGTTTCAGTCTGGTAACTATACTCCTGTGAACCTGCACTAACGGTTCCTTGGTTTCTTCATCTTCATCTAAAACCAGCTTAGTTGTAATGGGACATTTCAGAGGTGAAGCATCTTCGATCTCGATCACCTATAAGCAGAAATAGTGCATCGCAGGAATACCACCAAGCATTTGACAGACACTAGCTTTAGCAAAAGTGAAGTCATAATTTACTTAGTAAAGAGAAACCTTAAATTCTTTACTACGCATCACAACTTACTTTGGGTGAGTGGTTTTCTCCATGGAAAGTAAAGCAATAGGCAATTGAAACAGCACTCTATAGATCTCTATAGTCTCAAATAAAACCACTGTTAGCCTGCAGGAAACTACAACTTATGGCTTACAAGGCTACATACAAGTACTTTTAAAATTACTTATCAAATTAAACTGAGGTAGAAATACATAATCTTAAACATCATCAATTCAACTTCCTAGCATTTTGCTAAGAAAACAGAACATACCTCTCTCAATTTCTCTCTCTCGCGTTCTCTTTCTGCTATACGTTTTCTTCTTTCCTCTTCTTCTTTAAGTGCATTTTGTGTTTCTGTTCTAAGCTTATCATCTTTAATAATTTTCCTTATTTTCTTCCTGCCTTTTCCAGGAGATTTTGAATCATCGTTGTCCTCATTCTCAGAATTACTCTATTAAAATTAAATAAATCCAGTATTAGCAAGAAAATTATGTCACAGACCATCAAATCCTTCATTTTTAGACAGCTCCCCAAAATTTTTATACACACAGGTGGAGTTTAGCTCATAAGACACTTTTTTAGAAAAAACAGCTTAGGCAGCATGACAAAAGAAGTGCCACCTTAACTAAAATGTGTTCTGAGATATTAAAGATAAGCCCAGCTGTGCAAAGGCAGTACTGAAGATGCCATTATCATTTGATAGTAACTAATGACTATTAATAAAGAACTATTCTTCTGTTCCAGCAGCGCTAGAACAAATCAGCTATCACCTACTCCAACTAGAAAAAGAAACTCTAATACCAGGAAGGTCTTCATCTACTGTTTGTGTCATCTTCTAAATTTAGTTTAAAAATTCCACTTACTTAAAAGATATCATGCATTTTCATCAAGGTCTAGACAGGAAACATTTTTAGTTAAACACTTTTCTCCATAAAGGTGACATTTCACAAATCTTAGCACTGAATTAACGTTGAGAACAGTTACAATTTTTTTTACTGCACTCTGCACAGAGCTGTTTGAGATACCCAAGTCCCTAAGCAGTTGGTAGAAGAGACAGGAACTCCTTCTCCCATTTATTAATTCAAAACAAAATATCGTACCTTATTGTTGTTTTCACTTGAGGAATCCTCCTGAACCTTTATACGCCTTCGCTTCTTTTTTTGTTTGTAACTGCGCTGGTTTTCTTCCGCCTCTGCTTTCTTGGCAGACCTATTAAAAAAAAATGCAGTCTCACTGATTAACAATAATAATTAATTGCCCCACAGAAAAACAGTGATAAAGGAAATACATGAACTACGCTGGTAATTAACAGAATATGCACTCCTTTTGTGCAATCAGATGTTTACATCCAAATTCCTTCCTCCTCCCTCGACTCACTGGACACACATAGCAACAGCCTATTCCAGACAACCTTGAAGAGTCTCAGAATTGGTATGTTTTAGTTTTCTTCTGCAGTACACCACTCCTCAATTGCCACTGACATATTTCACGCAACAATGCTTGTTTTTTGCTAATCTTTTTTCATACTTGCTCATCAAATTGCTGTGTACCACACACTGTGGTACAAATCCAAAATGCTCACATTTTCTGCAAAGTTAATTAGCAGATACAAGAGTATCTGTATTATGGACAAGTATCATCAAAGATTTTTAAGGACTGATCCAAAGTCTCTAACTTTTATCATCTCGTTGCTTAAACTGCACTACTAAAAACCAAAAACCAAACACAGAATAAGCATAGTTAACTTTTATTTATACCTTGTTCTTGGACGTTGGTCATCTTCAGACTCGCTGACTTCTTCACTAACAGCAGACTCGTGAAACTCGGAGTCATTTGAATCATCGCTGCTTACTTTAAAAATAAAGTGTGATTTCATGTTGAATATTATTGCAGAGATAGCGACATTGCACATCTTCTCATTATACAAACTGTTTAAGTTCAACAAGCACTGCAAAAGTTCATTTTAGACCATTTGGGGCCGATTAAATGCACTAATAAGAAGCAACAGGAATATAAGGGTCAAGTCCCGATAGATGGCATATTATGCCAACAGGACTTGAGGTCTTTATGCATCAATACATCTAAGTACAGCAAATGACAATAAAAACCAGTATATTAGAAAGCGTCACATTTCAGAAACAGTGGGTAAGGAAGAGACAACACAATGGGAAACAGTACAGAACTTCAGAAAACAAAAGATTATTTTTAGTTAAACAGAAGCTTTTGTTTCAAATGTTTTAGCTGTAATTTTGTAATCATACTTCACAAGTCATGCAAACAACGCTTATTTACTAAAACCATATGCAACTCTATTACAGCATTTATGGCCTGAAGTTTCTTCAGGTAATGCAAGTTTAAAAATCACTCAAAGGACGATTAAAAATACACCTGAACTAGCAGCATTAGGTAATACTTCCATAGCTAACAGGAGTTATCACTGGCACTTATAGGTAATTAAGCCCAGCGTGCCATTTAGCACCTTTGCAATTTCAGTTTGACCTTGAATGCAGTGGAAAGCTTAACTGTTTTACAAACAGCAAGGCCTAAAACAAGGATTCTTTAGCAGACATGGGGAAATGTAATATTAATAACATAGGGCTAAAAAATAGTGAGTTGAAATAAAGTATACTGTTCTACTTAAAAGACTTAGACTTAAGAACCCTGAGAATTAGTATGGCTGCATCTTATTTGCACATTGCCACTGTAATTTACAATTACTTTTCTTGAAAGAAATGTTGTTGGTAGAGTTATAATTCTGTAAGGGAGGAAAAGCATGAATACACAGATAAAAATAAAGTTTGTTTCTCATTTTCCTTCCTGAAATCGCACTGCAACTCTTAGTCTGTGGAACACCGCAAAAGATGGCTAATGGTGCAATGCTAAGAACATGAAAGTTCTGTGCACTCTCACCTCTGCTGCCCATGAAACACTACCCACATCTACATTTATCCTTCTTACTGCTCCCCTCCACTGCTCAAAATGGTTAAAAGCAAAGGGTCGACAGAGTCTTTGTTCTTACACACCTCAAGGAAAATGGAAAATCAAAGTTACGCATCATTTCACAGTGCCATCTGGTGTTCAGCTGCAGCTCGCAACATTTAAATTCCAGCATGGAGAAACTTGTGATGCATGAGGGCCTACTAACAGTCCAAGTTAAAGAGAGACACTACGTAAAAGGCAAGATTGATTTTCACAAGTTAGGCATACTGGGCTTGCCTCTGTTATTTAAGATTAATATTCCAAGACTCAACAATATTAATACATCAGAGGACACGGCACCTGTATTCAACATTTTAAATAAAACTACCAAACACAGGTAAGAGAATTCTAGATTTAATACACAAGGAAGTTTATAGAGAGATTTTAAAATTATGGAGTTTCAGATCTCCATTCTGACAAGCTTCAGATTTACTTTACAGAAGCAAGCACATTTTGTGACAAAACCCATTCGGATTCCATACCTTTCCTTCTATTCCTGCGTTTTCCTTCCTTTTTCTCTTTTGGTTTCACCTTTTTTTCTTCATCAGATTCTCCATCGCTCACTGTCAGCTTGTGCCTCAGCAGTCGGTGTCTGTATCTTGGCTTCTTTGATTCTTCTTCTTCTTCTTCCTCTGAATCTGAGTCAGAATTATCTTCTTTTTCATTCTCCTCTGTCAGAGAGAAAAAGTCAGTACAACATGCACACTGGTCATTTTTTTCTTATTTAAATTTGGCAAGAATTCAACCTGAATTATTTCAGCCTACAGCCTGTGTAATAATTTCCAGGAAATTATAGGCAGCAACATACTGTTGCTCCCTCAAATTTTAAGCATTTTACGCTGCCTGAACACTTGGAATGTCTGTTCCAATGACTATGTTAGTCAAATCTCTGCCATGCATTTGCACATCTTACTGTTCTGCATGGATTATTTCTCACAAATCCCTAGGATTTCTCAATTGGTTACAAAAATCAGACTATTAACAAAAAACCACAGAGAACAAAAGAGGTGGTAAACCTCATGAACCTTAGCCTCTACTTGCCACCTACCTACCAACATCAACGACATTTTTTGTTGAAAACTAAAGAAATTTTAATAATTATAATTTTCCCAAGTGATCTTTGAAATTATGACAGGCTCTACAGCACCACTTTTTCCCGGCTGCTTTTTGGTGCTCACCATAATCTCCTGTGTTTTCAATTGGCTTTCCAGTTTTCTTTTTTCTTCCATCCGACTCATCATCTGAAGATGCATCCTCATCAGAGGAAAGATTGGCTTTGATTTCTTCTAAAAGCATTTTCTTGGCAATTCTTTGAAGTGAAACAGAAAAAACTATTTATTCCATTGTTCAAACAAACCCATAAACGGTAACTGTAATCCTATACCATTCAGAACTTCAAAAAAAAGGGTTGAAAGCTAAACACCAAAAAAGACACGATGAAAAGTCACTGTGGTAAGACAGGATACAGCAGCAGAAATCTCATGTTAAATATAATGTGTTAACTTGCTTTTAGAAAGAAAATCTGTAAAATGTTTCTTAAAGAATTTTCATGTGGGAGATAGCTATAAAATGTAGAGACTTAAGCATTTCATTTTATTCGTGTTCTATCTGGACGGATTCTGGTCAGTTCTGGGACAGGCACCTATAGGAACTGCCACGGTAATAAAGATGTGAAAATGCTGCAGACCAAATCCCCATAGTCAAATTATTCTCCCTAAAATGGTTATCACGCTTACTTGATTTAAATCACAGAACCATTTCCTGAGGCACTGAATCTACTTGACCGGTGTATATGCAAACCATAAGAGTTTTAAAAGTAGTGTATCACAGAACATATGTTTTAAACAAAGGGGGAAAGATTATTACAATATGCATTAACTTGCAGGTTGTGATAAATGATTTAGGCTCAAACAGG